AGCAGCAGCCATTGCAGTCTTTTTAGATGCTTGCTTAGCCTTTTTTGCTTCCTTGGCAGCCCTGGGGAGTTATAAATAACTTAAGGCAAGGCACTTTACTCCTTAACGGTACAACTTATTATCAAGGAGGTAGAGTAACTGGACAAGCAGAACTATCACATTCCTTCCCAATCTGCATTTACTTGTAGGTTAAATCCAAAGGGTTTATCAATAAATTTCATTAACCACCAAGCCAGCTTAACATATATTAAGGTTGTACAATAACTTTAATTGCATAAAGAATTTCAACATGAATTATTTAAACTATATTATAAAGTTTTGCACTATTAAACCTAAATATTTATGATCAACAATTCCAATATAGATGAAGTATCAAAACAAAGTATCTGGTGAGGTTCCTGTACCTATAAATCCAAACATAAAGGGCCGGCCCGTGGCTCACTTGGGAGTGTGGTGCTGATAACACCAAGTCAAGGGTTAAGATCCCCTTACAGGTCATCTTTTAAAAAATAAAAAATAAATCTAAACCTAACCTAAAACCCATCCCAGTAGCTAAAATGCTTAGAATGAACTACTCCTTACCTGATAGCTTGTTCTCGTTGAGCCTTTCTAACTTCAGGTTTTTGATTCCTCTTGGCCATTATATCAGCAAGAGATGCACCAGTAATGGCCCTCTGGAATTTGACTGCACGTCGGGTTCTTTTCTTTTGAATTTCTTCCTACAAAACAAAAAGATGGGGAAGCTTTATGATTTATAAAGATAAGATTTATGAAGCTGGGAATTTGGAAGGAGAAAAAATTAAGACTTAAGACAGGATAAATGACATCTTTTAAGATTCATATTCAACAAAAAATTTATGCAATTATTTGAAATGAAATAAAACACAAGTTTTCCACTTACGGGCTGTTAAACCATCCATTACAAATCCTGGCCATTTTTACTACTTTAAAAGATAAAGAATTGGGCCGGCCCGGTGGCGCACTGGATGGTGCGCCGCTTGGGAAGTGCGGCGGCGCTCCCGTAAGAGGGTTCGGATCCCATATACAGACCGGTTCCCGCTCACTGGCTGAGCGAGGCGCGGGAGCAACACCGAGGCTTGCGATCCCGTTGCCGGTCCCCGGTCCGGTACGGGGGCAACACTGAGGGTTGCGATCCGTTGCCGGACACGGAAAAAAGACAAAAGACAAAAAA